CGACTGATGTACAAAGTCTTTGCGCGTATGATTCTTGGTCGCATCGAAAACATCTTGGACGCGTCGCAACCAGAGGAACAACACGGTTTCAGAGTGGGACGCCGTATTGAAGAGCATCTACTTACGGCAAATGTTTTGTTGGATAAAACATTTGCTGCCAATCTCCCGCTTTGGATTGTAAGTGTCGATTTTGCTAAGGCATTTGACAGTGTTGAGTGGTCTGCTCTTTGGACAGCGCTGCGGACACAAGGTGTATCTGACCATTTGGTGTGGGTTTTGCAGATGTTATACCAAGATCAAGAAGGTGTTGTTCGCGGCGATTCCAATTTGAGCCGCTGGTTCAAAATCTGTGGGGGCGTCCGCCAAGGTTGTGTTTTGAGTCCTCGATTGTTCTGTGCGGTTCTTCAAGCCGCTCTCAGCGCTTGGAGGCAATCTGTCGAGTTTCTAGGTCTTGATTTTGGTGATGGCCTACCACCATTACTGGACCTCAGATTTGCTGACGACCTATTGCTGTTCGCAAACTCCGCAAATGATGCCGCGCAAATGCTGGATGAGTTGGTCCGTTGTTGTTCAGCTGTTGGCCTCCGCTTGAATGCTCGAAAAACCAAGGTGTTGACCACTGAAGCGCAAGCGCCCCCCAAGTTGATCACCCCACTGGCAACACTGTCAGCATTTTGCCGCCCAGTGACGCTCACAAATGGTTGGGCTGTTTATTGTCGAGCCGTGGCTCAAAAGCAACATCTGCTGATGTGGACTTTCATATGCAGGCTGCGTCGAAAGCATTCTTTGCAAACAAGGACGTGCTGTGTGATCGCAACGTTTCCTTGACACAGCGACTCCGATTTTTCGATGCCGTAATCACTCCCGTGGCATGTTTTGCGGCTGGCCACAGAGCTATTTTCCAAGCAGATGTTCGCCATCATGATGTTGTCTTCAGAAAGTTTTTGCGGCGCATTGTTGGTCCTCCATCCGACGTCCAATGGGACATGCCGTGGCACCACATCCTACACCAGTGGAACATGAAAGCGTTGCGGTGTTGGGAAGCTTTGCGACGGCCTACATGGGGACAACTTTGTTTGCATTCTTATTGGAATTTTGCGAGACACATTGCCAACTTGCCTGATGCAAGATGGGTTAAACGTGCTTTGAAGTGGCAGCCGATGGGGCGGCCTAACCCCGGTAGACGCGGCAACATGTGGATGACTTGCCTAGAGAATTTTGCTCGCTTCCAACGCTGGGCCACCTGGGAAACAGCAGCTATGAACAACAATATGTGGAATGAGTCACGCGATGATTTTTGCAAATTTGTGATGGGGCAGGAATCTGCATAAAAGGTGCCTATAGAACGTTTCACCTGTACCCTAAAGGGGACGCCTTCGGGCGATCAGGTGTCGACTCGACTCGACTGCAGGTTTCGCCGCTCAGCAAAGCCTGCCATGGTCTCGCTGAGCGATCGACTGCGCCCGCCTACCCAACAGCGACCTGGTTTAGGGTTGCATGATTCTCAACTCTATCTGTACGGCTTGATTGTTCGGTTTGATAGCCCAGCGGGGTCCTGTATCGGCAAGGCTGTTGGAAAAACCGCGCAAGGGTTGCTCATGCATCGCCATGGAAGGCACGGGCCCAGATGAAAGAGGCAAAAGTCCCAGGGTAGTGTGCTGCAATGGGCAGACGATGGGGTAGTAACCCTACACCTGGGAGCCTCCCACCAACCTACAGTAACATTTGCGCGAGCCGCAAGCTTGCGAGCTTCAAGCTTCAAATCGTGCCTGAGACGTCAGGCCAAAACCCAAGCCCTTTCGAAGCTCCCCCATCGGAACAAGAATATCGATCAACCCTCATATGCATACATCATCAGGGGTAGGCTTTTCGTTGGTTTTAGTGAACCATTCATGCGTGCCTTCCGGTCAGTACGAGTACCACATCAATGTAACAACAAGATCACCACAAAAAAGGGTAACCAACAAATCGACTTCAATAATCCCAACAAACGGATTATTTGTTTTCGTTAACACTCACTCATATAAGCGCTCATTTCTTCCAAGGGTTTAGTGTTATTTTGCTGTTGCCGTTTCAAGGCCCGCTCAACCATGAGTACAACGGCTCGAGATGGATGAGTCTGCGTTTAGCTGGTGATCGACATGTGTTCCACAGGCCGCTGCCAAAACGCGTACGCAACGGCGTGAGCACGTGACCCTCAGACAGCGCGACAATCTCCAACCGGCGAGGGAGGCCCTGCCCGACGATTGCATCACTTCCAGCCTCGGCAAGACCCGCGTCATCTCTGCCGAGGCACCCTCCCCTGCCGGGATCGCGGGGCCGGGCGACGAAGTGTGGCAAGGCGACCCAGCTTTCCTGCGACCGCAGGCAGGCCCGCAAGCGAGTGCATAATTCACGTAATTCACGTAATTCACATAATTCACATAATTCACATAATTCACATAATTCACATAATTCACATAATTCACATAATTCACATAATTCACATAATTCACATAATTCACATAATTCACATAATTCACATAATTCACATAATTCACATTCACATAATTCACGTGTCGCAAACAGAGTAATGTTGGACTCGCTTTAGTGCGCAGGGCCCCCCCTCCCCCCCCAAACAATTTGTGGGTTCTCGGGGATCCTGAATACTGTGGGCTGGGGCTGGGACGGGGCTGGGGGTAGGGCGGCTAGGGGTCGAGGGTTGAGGGGAAGCCTTGAAGCTTGAGGGTCTAGCTTTCCAGGCTTTGTGGCTCCACGGTCGCCGAAGCGAATCAGGGCAGCTCGTGGGCTACTCCATTGGAAAATTGTTTGGGGGCCTGTTTCGTAATGAAGTTTTTAAAGGAATTTAGACAAGGTTGGACACCAAAAAACTCCGGAGTTTCTTATTCAACACATTTTTTTGTTTTTGGCTCCCCGGCCCCCCGCCCTTCAACCCCGGCCGGGCAAACATCGCTTAATTGAGGACCACCCTAAACAATGGGGGGTCCTGAATAGGATTTTCGGAACATCGCATAATAGTGCCCCCTTCCACAAAAACGAGTGGAACATTATCGACCACATACTGTACCAAATGAATTTAAATGATGTTTGCCCGCTGCCCGCCAACCGGCAGCAAGACAGCGGCCAGTGAGATGATTTCAACTCCGACTCAAGGCAACTGGCAACTAAATCTTGCGCACTGCATGAGCACGCACCAGAACCCGGCCATATCCGGCCATTCAAGTAAGCAAGGGGTGAACACGAATGGTCAAAAACCCATGCTAAAACGGAAAACCCTGCATAGCGATGGGAACACTTGAAAAGCAACACCCCTTTGCTGCGTCCGTTCAGCTGCGCCGCCAGCAGTCGTTCACATGGGAGGTTTTTTTACCCGGATTCCCACAAATTGGTTGGTGTTTTTCGAAATAGAATCTATAGAATACCGAGCAACTGAGTTCAACTGAGTGCAGGTAGTTTGAACCGGCAACGCGATGCACACGGCCGCCACTGGTTCAAGGCACAAATTCTCGCGTACTGTACGCTAGTCACGCTACTGTGGTGCATGCCGTCCTTTTGACCAGGGCCGCTTGGCAGCATTCTTCACATGCAATCGCAACTCAAGGAATGGTTCCGTGCTGATTGCTCTGGCTTGTGCATGACCTTGTTGTGTTGCGAAACCCAGGCTTTCCCTGGAAAGACGCACGGCGTGTTCACGCTTGCAGGCCTCACGCTTGAATGTCTTGTGATTACGAATGTTCCAATCGCGATTGTTGAAAGCGCCAGGGGCAAGATACTCGAGATTGGCATGCCTCAACGCCATGAGTGTATCAAGGAACGAACGATTACCCAAATGTTGGGAAGCTTTTTGTTGTTTTGGTACAAAGCGAGGGATGAGGGAAGAAACGGGACCACCAGCTCATGGGTTGAAGTAGTGGGTTTCACGGGTCATGTGGTGCACGGGGCTTCAAGGTTTCAAGAATGTTGATTGCTTGCAGGGTTTCAATGGCACATATTTGTTCAAGGGTTATGTCGAGATCACGGTGTCAAGCAATTGTACGACGAACCGGGGCGCAAGTTCGTCAACCATGCAACCTCGCACAGCGACGTAAGTGGCTATATATGTGCTATGACGATTTCGACTCATTTCAAGGCAACGCAAGCCGATGTGTTGTTAAGCGAGGCATCTCAAAGCACAGGGCCCGTGAACTTCGATGCGCCTCAAAGCAAAGTTTGCTGTTCTCAGCGCAACGGTTAATTGAAGCCTAGAGGTATAGCCCTTCTCCAGCCCACCAGCAAATCTTCCCGAGCATTATCATGAGTGTTGTCGAAAAGTTTTGTTTCAACACAGAACCCCTTCAACACCTTATATGAAGTAGGGTATAGAGTGAGGTATGGTGAGTGTGTAGCGGTTGTTTTCTATTGGAGTCCTTTTGGGATACCAGTAACAAGGACCCAGCTACATACTACAGGGGTCGGAACACGTACTTATAGTATTCGTCCGTTTATAACTAACCCTAAACCCTAAACCCTCTTCTAATTATTAAGACCCCTTTATTATGTGCATCCACAGGTCTCGCTCCAGGAGCCGCGCTCGCACACCTGAAATGGTGAAGGCCTTCGTTTCAGTGTTTAGGGTTCAGGGTTCAGGGTTCAGGGTTTAGGGTTTAGGGTTTAGGGTTTACCTGCACCCCCCAACTACCCGTTAATAAAGGGGACTTATATGCCGCACCATTATGGTTAAAGAGTAGTTGGAGGGTGCTGGTAGGGTTTAGGGTTTCCAAAGACAGTGCCGGAACCAAGGTTATAGGTCTCGGATTTTTAACAAATGGCTCAGGGTTTTGGCAGGAAGGGTTTCGGATTGCCCATGTTCTTCCCTGTTAACCCCCACATCCATCCGAAGCTTGTAGTGCAAGTTGCCGAATATCCGCATTGCCCTTTTTGCAGTGCAGTGTCAGGAGCTCAGGACCACAATTCAACTTGTCCACCTGCCAGCGAGGCTCTGTACGTCTATCTCGTGCGCCATGCAGAATCAAACAACAACAGTGTGGACCCCAGAGAAGGCAGTGGTTCGCAATGATTCCATAAATGTATAGCCCGAAGCATCCTGAAGCGCTAAACTAATACACCCTAAACCCGGGCCGAAATCTGATAAACCCTTGTAACCCCACAAGCCTCATAAACCCACCAAACCTTTGTGGACCCCATAAACTCTAAACCCTGCCAATCAACTACCCTATACCTTATAAACCGTAATTATTAAACCCTGTAAACCCTGCACAACAAAACACAAAGCCAATCAGGCCGGGAGTTGCATGATCTTCGTTCGTCGGTCAACTTGCCATCAACGCCGTCCGCGAGCGCGACTCTACGGACCTTTGGCAGAGGAGGCCCGGGGTTTAAGGTTTTTGGGCTGCTTCCGAAAACTAGTTTTGTAACCTTCCGGTGGCTTGCTAGAATGGGGTTTTATTCACAGCAATAGCTCAGAATGCCCCGTAGCCCTTAGTGGTAGCATAAACAAAGGAGACACCCGAAAGCATCCCAGGTCTTCATTTGAGGAATTCACTTATTTCGGGGCATTTGTTGAAAGTATCACGAACGGGCGGCATGTGACCCTCACAAACGCACAGATGATCACACATTGTATTTCTTTTCCAGTAACATGTCCATGCAGCGATGTCAGTGCCCCTAGCCATTCTGAGAGAGCAGCTGAAAATCCTAATCGCAAGGTGACAGTGTCACTGCCGATGTTTTCAAAATCGACGAAGAGGACGAGAAAGCCGGGCAGAATCTGGCCGGAGCCGTACACATGCAAGCGTCCAGTCGTCTAAGTGGAGTAGCCGCACATAGCCGTGTGATTGTGCATGGCCAGCTTTTGAATTCTCGCAAGGTTGCCGCAGCATGGGCAGTGCCTATCAGTATCCCCCCCTGCAGTGGGGCACACGCATGATGCATAATTCTTACGAGCATCTAGTGCAACCTCGTTTGCCGGTATGTTTTGAGCATCGGGCAGTTTTTCGATGAGCGCTTCCTGCCAGAACCGATGTGCTTTTTGCCCCATAACCCTAAACCGCACGCAGCCCTTCGCCATGGTTGGTTTGCAAATTTTCGCCAGGCCGCGTGTGCCCAAACCAGGGATCGTGAACGAAGAGACAGGCAGCAAACGGCCAGCTTCGTCTGCCCCATCCACCGAGGTCGTGGTGCGGGTTTCCGTCGGAAAATGGGCTGGTGATCACAAGGCTGTGGTTCTGCAGAAGGGCCGCCCCCCACAAAATCAAAAGAAGTTATCAGCCGCAGAAGAGCTCCAGCAGTTGCAGGGGGTGTGGGACTTGGCGGAGCTTACCTCGAAAAAAACCAAAGAGAAGCCTGGTGCAGATGCCAGTGTGGCCAAGATTTATGTTCGTGGAAAGCGTGTGGAGGAAAGCCTGGCTGATGGACGTCGTCGCTTCTTCAATCTGGTCCTTGCAGAGAAAGCCCGCGACCCAACATGCATGGAGCCGGAAGGGCTTGGTGATGGCCGCTTGAAAGGGACCAAACGCAAGCAGCCAGATGAAAATGAGGAGCAAACAATGGAGAAGCGCCACGCGAAGCCTCCATTGAAGGGCCCGGACACGCTGGAGAACGGGGGTCCAAAGAACGGCCGTAAAGGCAAGGGCAAGGGCAAGAAGACCAAGAGACACGCTGCAGGTCATTGGCTGCTTCTCCACCACACGCCCAAGCTTCTGATCCTCAGAGATGGGGTTTCCGCTCAAGAGCCATATTGGTGGCACCCTGAGGAGCAAGCATCATGGAGTCGTGGCGGAGACACGCAAGAGAGCCTGACCATCAGGTGGGATAGTGTGAACATGAAAAAAGTATGTGATTGCGTGAAAGAGTCTGTGAAAGAGTCTCTGTGTGTGTGTATGTGTATGTGTATGTGTATGTGTATGTGTATGTGTATGTGTATGTGTATGTGTATGTGTCTGTGTGTGTGTGTATGTGTATGTGTATGTGTATGTGTATGTGTATGTGTATGTATATGTGTATGTGTTCGGGGAGGATCAAACATGGCATTCGATGCTGAGCACGCCCCCAAAAAAAAACAAAAACATCGGATGTAACCACCAATCCCCAGGTACGTGAAGGACGAGCACACGGAGAAGCTGTCACGACATGCCCAGGATCCTCCCAACACCTGGCGTACCAGCAAGGGTGTGGCAGTGACCATCCTGGCTCCGAAGAAGGGGTGACAAGGCACATTGGGTACACCTTTGGGCTCGCGGACCGCTTTGTGGCCGTGAAACAATGCGCGAACTGGTTGCGCGCGATCGCCGAGAACAGCGAGAAGGAGAGAATCCGATCGAGAGCGTCGGAAACTTTGCGTTGGCTTTGCTGTGGCTCTGTGTGTTCGCCCATCCCGCCCAGCGTTGTTCGCCGAGTGCAGACGAGCCTTTCACTGCAAATCTGTCGGGCAGGCAGCATGTATACGGTATACTATTGTAAATATCCGTTTGCTGCCAGGGCTTGCCTGGCTTGCCAGGCCGTTGTCGAAGCTTCGATCAACAGGGCCATTCAATGATCTGGGAAGACAATCTCCGGCACCAGTTTCATGCTTTGTTTATTTGCCTTGTCACGTATGGAAAGGCGGGAGAGGCGGTGATTTGGCGACGGAATAGCAAAGAGGTTTCAAAGGTTCTGCGAAATCACGATCCTAAACCTGAAGTATTGAGCACCCTAAACGGCCCCCAGCCTTAAACCCTACAAGCCTTATACCCTGCAAACCCGACACCGTTGTTGGGGCTTGGGTTTCTGTGTTAGGGAGCTCTTGGGTCTGGGCTTTCCAACATGACCCAGGACCCCAAACCCCAAACCCCTAAACCCCAAACCCTAAACCCAAACTCGAGACCTCTGGAGCCCTGCCTTCGCGCGCGCTAGTCGTGAGAGTCGAAACCCACACCTAAACCCCAAAGCCTGAAACAAAAAGCACACACCTCAAGCCTTGACAAGAAGAGCCCTAAACCCTAAACCTTAAGCCCTAAACCCTAAACCCTAAACCCTAAACCCTGAACCCTCCAGCGTGCCCTTAGGCCGAGCAGTCGGTGCCAGTGCTCAGCTCCCCTCGGCCTGGCCTGGCACCTTACCGGGGGGGGGGGGGGGGGGGGGGGGGGGGGGGTGATCCTTCAGGGCGAACACCTGGACCCTAAGTTTAGGGTTTAGGGTTTAGGGTTTGGGGCTTAGGGGCTTAGGGGCTTTTCTTGGACCATTGGATGTTGTCAGTGCAGTGGTCGTCGAGCTGGCTGCCGTCAAGAGTGTGGGTTCAAAAGCATACTGGGCTTGCAGCTTGTTCGCAAAAGCCCGGCAGCAAGGAGCCCTGCATGCACAAAAGGGCACAACCGCCTTGTTGGAAGGAGGGCTCAGCGCAGATATGCGGGGGAATCCGGAAATGGGGCCTTTGGACTCTGGACTTAGGATGTTCCCCTGGGGCCCCTCAGCCCATCTGTCCTTACTTGAATACATATTTATATACATATAGTATATATATATGTATACACATACATATGTATACATAATTATATGCAGGTATAACAGGCTCGAACGTCATCGACGTGGCAAAGGACTTGTTAAGTTCGTTCTGTGGTGGAATCCCAATCTCTTTTGACTCGACATTAAATTCACGCAAGAGCATCCGCCTACGCACTCGAAAACCTGAACCCAGCACCTGAACACAATCTTAACCCCACACCCTTGACCCTAAATCAAGGGTCGGAGGTTGTAGATTGGACGGCAACAGATACTCCATAAGCATATTGCCCCAAATGCTGCGTCCCTAAACCCTAAACCCTAATCATCAGGCAAGTCGAGGCTGAGCGACTGATTTGGGGGTTGTGGAGGGCATCTCTTCATCTGGAGCATCGCCCGCCGAGGTCGAGAGCCTGATCCTGGTTTGACAGGACCAGCTTGCCTTTGGGGTTTAGGGTTTATAGGGTTTATAGGGGGTTTATGGGGTTTATGGGGTTTTTAGGGTTTATAGGGGTTATAGTGTTTATAGAGTTTATGGGGTTTATGGGGTTTATGGGGTTTATGGGGTTTATGGGGTTTATGGGGTTTATGGGGTTTATGGGGTTTAGGGTTTGTCACGAGTGCAGGGTTTTGGGACAGCCAAACCGGGCGGGAGCATAGCCAAGCTCGTTGCACAATTTTAGCTGCAGACAGTGAGCAGTCCAAGTCGGAAAGGGTTTATGTATACGGGTTTCACCCACTGTGCAACCCTGAACCCAACAATCCTTCTCCCTCTCTCTCTCTGTCTGCATAACCCTAAACCCTAAAAAAAAAAACCTAAACCATAAACCCTAAGTTCAGTCTTCAGTCTCAGCTTCAGGACGCGGCAAAAAGCAAGCAGAGGCAGTGGACGCACACTCAGGATGGCAGCGCCAGGTAGGAGATGGGATGCTCCCCCTTATTACTGGCAGTCCTTTTTTGAGGATTAGAATGATGACGGGGTACTTTCATTTCAATTAAGGACTGCTAGTATACGGGGGAATACTTTGCGGTAGGAGTATCTGATAAGAACTCCCCCCCTGCCCCCGCCCCCCCCCACCCCCCCCCCCCCCCCCCCCCCCCCCCCCCCCCCCCCCCCCCAAAAAAAAAAAAAATCAAGAAGGGACCTGCAACTTATGCTTCCAGCAAAAAGTTCCAAGGTAGGTTTGGGTTCTGGGAAGGCAGTCCTTGAGCGATTCGAAGGCGCAGTCTTGCAAGAGAACGTGTGTTACACGCAGGCTGCCTAAATCGCCTCGAAGCTGAGAAGCTGCAACCTCTAACTGTTAAAGTGCTTCCCAAGTGCCAAAGATCCCAGGGGGGGTCTGCTTGGCGGGTGGCACAAGCCCTAAGCACATCAATAAAGCCCAAAAGCCCAAGAAGTGTCAATCGAGGCCCAGCTACTCAGAAAGATCCAGAATGACCCGAAGACGGAGCCAAGGCAGACCAGAAGGTATAGGGTGTGGGGGATACCTTGTTGCTCCTGTCCGAGATTTGACCTTGGCCATTAAAGGATACGCGTGGCTTGGCTTGGGACTTGGGTGTCCGATTGGGTTCATACGCGGTCCAAGTGTAGCCTGCTTCTTATCTTGGAGGTGCATGGCTGTCTCACAAGTGGGGGTGCAAGTGCCTTAGTATGGATAGCACCAAGAATAACTACAATATCCCTAGCTATATAAGTACTCATGAGCATCCAAGTAGCAGGGTCGGGGACGTGGAAATGCTAAGTTTGGCGCGCTGCAGCATCTCATGTGGAGTAAATTCTGACCCGAAACCCTAAACCCTAAACCCTAAACCCTAAACCCTAAACCCTAAACCTGCAAGCCATCCTGGCTCAATACAGCCCAAAGACCCCGCCGCCGGCGGGGGTCGTGTCCAGCAGCTGCCGCGGCTGCAGGTCAGCAACTCATCGCTGGCCTTGTTTGGCTGCATAAAGAATTGCGAAGCCCAGCATTTTGGAATGTAAATAAAGACCTTTAGGATGCTTAGGTTAAGCTAGGTATTCTATGACGGACATGGGGTTCTTAAGCTAGCCTGTGCCACAGTTGGAAGCCGTCGCATGCTGTTTTGATTGTTGTCGGGTTATCATCAGTCACCCGAAAGGCCAAAAAGAGCTGGGCGGCAAAAAGGAACCACAAACCCATTCCCTAAAGGTGTCCATGGCGGAATGCGCCAACGGCAAGGAAACGGGCGCAGAGGAAGCAATGGTTGCGCTCCTTGGTCGCCGCTTTAGGGTGTAGGGCTGCTGTGAACCGAGGCCTGTTGTAAAAGGGTGTAGGGTGAGTTCAGTTGCCGGTCATCACAGCAGACCCTTCATCGGCAGAAGGAACCCATGCACAGTTACAGCCAAAGAACCTGAGCACGAAGCCCCCTCCCCCACTGAAAAATGCGGTTATCTAGCCAGAATGCATAGATACCAACAAACCACAGCAACAACTACAAGCCAAGCCCCCCAAACCCCCCAAACCTCTCGCCCTAAACCCTAAACCCTAAACCCTAAACCCTAAACCCTAAACCCTAAACAGCGCCCCAAGGCTCAAGGGCAAGGATGTGGCCGAGCTCCGGGCCATGGCAGAGCGCTTAGCGAAGCTTTGGCATGCACAGATAAGGGTTTCAGGAAGGTTTAGGGGGGGTTTGAGGGTTTTTTAGGGCTTCAGGAAGGTTCAGGGGGCAGTTTTAGGTTTTTTTTAGGTGGTCTTTAGGGGGGGGGGGGTTCAGGCGGCCTCTGCAAAAGCGCGCGCCTGCTTGAACCATCTTCGCGCCTCCGAGGTGTCTAGGTAGAGCCGAGCGTCTGAACTTCTTCACACTTGCAAGGTCATCAGACTGGTACAAGCGCCTAAACATTTGGAGTCCGGTTCGGGGCTTGTGGCTCCAAAGGATTTCGGGAATCGAAGGCGACCCAGAGGTGCCGCCCCGAAAAATTCTAGAAGGTGCCCGATTGCAACCTACAGAAACCTACAAACAGTAGGCCTTCGACTCCCGAGGAACAGCAACATCCCTGAGACCCCAGAACCCTGCCCTGACAAAACCAAACCCTAAAGGCCCTGAAGCCCTAAGCCCTAAAACCCTAACCTAAAAACCAACCCTAAACCCTAATACGCCCCAAATCCTGAAAAACTAAACCCTAAAAGCCCTGAAGCACTAAAAAAACCCTAAAAACCCTAACCCAAAAACCGACCGTAAACCTAAGAAGTCCTAAGCCCTAAAACCCGAAACCCTTGCATGCATTCAAGCCCTGAAAACCAAAAGCCCTAAACCCTAAACCCGAACCTTAAAACCAACCCTAAACCCCAGAAAGCCCCGAGCCCTAAACCCTTATGTACATTCAAAACCCAACCCTAAGCTCTAAGAAACCCTCAGCCGTAAAAGCCTAAACCCTTACATAAATGTAAGCCCAAAGAAACCCTAAAGCCCTCAACCCTAGGCCCTAACCTAAACCCCAACCCGAAGCCCTAAGAAACCCTAAGAAACCCTAAGCCCTAAAACCCCAGACCCTTATGTAAACTTAAGCCCGAAGAAACCCGAAAGCCCTAGAACCCTCAAGTCCCAAACCCTAAACCATCAAGCCCTAAAGTCCCAGACCCTGAACCCTAAACCCTAAAGTTCTAAACCCCAAAGTCCTCAACCCTAAACCTTAAACCCTAAACCCTAAGCCCTAAACCCTAAACCCTAAACCCTCACATCACACCTGAGAACTAAGGAAGGGCCAGGAGTCGCTTCAGGCCACGCCATGGGTCTCCAGAGGGGCCCTTTCTAAGTAGGGTTTAGGGTTTAGGGTTCAGGGTTTAGGCTTTAGGGTTCAGGGTTCAGGGTTCAGGGTTTAGGCTTTAGGGTTCAGGGTTCAGGGTTCAGGGTTTAGGCTTTAGGGTTCAGGGTTCAGGGTTTAGGCTTTAGGGTTCAGGGTTCAGGGTTTAGGCTTTAGGGTTCAGGGTTCAGGGTTCAGGGTTTAGGGTTCAGGGTTTAGGCTCTAGGGCTTAGGGTAGAGCCATGCAAACTTCCTGACGAAACCCCGGCTCACCATTTTGGGGTACCTACTTTCCTGATCGTAGTCGGGGTTAGGGCTTAGGGTCAATTTGCAGACTTTTGGGCCATATAAATCTATTGCTTAGGTTTGAGGACCCTGGGGCTCGATGCATGGCCCATACTTTTGAAGTCCGGTTACGCAGGTGTTCACATGAGGCTTCCTACCCAAATTCGGGTGTCCTGGCCTAAGTACGGCACCCCTCCATCCCTACAAGCCGTAATATTCAGAAAGCCTACTTAAGGGATCTGGGGGTCCATGTGGGTTCTTAGACCGAAAGCCCTAGTTTTTGAAGAGCCGCCCACCATTGCTAGGAGATGTTGAAGGAGTTGGAGGCTGAGCGGGAGGAGCTCCACAAAGAGAAGGCTGGATCCACGTGAGTTACCGGGCGTCCTCAAGACTTGCAGCCTTTAGAGAAGTTTCCGTGTTTAAAAGAGCTTCCTTGGGGTTAAGGGTTTAGGGTTTAGGGTTTAGGGTTTAGGGTTTAGGGTTTAGGCAAGGCAGAGAAGAGCATAATACATGTACCGAGGGTTCTGCATTCGAAACGCTGAGCTGCTCAGTTCATGGCAACGGCAGTGCCTCGTACAACTCTGCGGCTCCTGAACCTTGAGTGAAATGTACGTGCGAGATACTGTGGCCCTTGTCCAAAAAGAGGCGCAACTTAACGACACCATCACGCTGTTCATGAAGGACTTGCCGCAGCGGCTTGCGTGATAGTTTCTTTCTGTGCTTTCTCAGGGATCCGATGACTAAACCCTGACCCTATGCCCTAAAAAAAATATGTGACTTCTCCATACCAGGCATCACACTGAGATCCAAATCCCAAGCCGATGCAGTATCTTTCAACGGTGGCCTCAGAAGATTTCATTGGGCACAGTTGGTCTGGATCTCTATCTTGAGGGCTTACGAATCCTACCCTAAACCGAAACCCTAAACCCTAAACCCTAAACCCTAAACCCTAAACCCTAAACCCTAAACCCTAAACCCTAAACCCTAACCTTAAACCCTAAACCCGAAACCCTAAACCCGAAACCCTAAACATTGCTGTGGCTAGTCGGGTGCCAAAAAAACCCTAGACCCTAAACCCTAACCTTAAACCCTAAAGCAACTCTTCACAGCACAGGATCTTCAGAAGCTACACATCGGCGCGCAGAATACCGTAGAGCCGGTCCCTGTGCAGCACGCAAAGGAGTTGTGGATTTAGGGTTGAGGGTTTAGGGCTAGGGGTTAGGGTTTAGGATTTAGGGTTGAGGGTTTAGGGCTTAGGGTAGCTTGCGGGGTCACAAGGGTCTAGGGCAGATACATCGATTCCTGCCTTAAAAAGGGGTGGGATGTCGGATCCGTGACGGCATGGGGTGGGCTTATCTGCATGGGGTTGCGGGGTTTTGGGTAGAAGGTCCCGAGTTTGATCAGTTCGACACCTCCCTCGGGGAAGGTGGCGCTGGCCTGGATTGCCGCGAATGAGCTTGATTAGGTATAAAAATGGGCATTTAGTAAAGAGATGGCTTTCACTTGGTAAAGTAACTTAGTTTTAAGTTACTTGATCGTAAGCAAAATCTTAGGAACTTCTTTTACGCATGTGGTAGGATTCATGTAGACGGACAGAAAGAACATGAGCAAAGAAAGAAATTCGCATTTCTGGGTTCCCTTTTGTACCTTTTTCTGGTTCTCTCTGCTCGCGCTTCCATGTCGGACTGGTGCCAGATTTGTCAGTGAAGATTCCTGCGGCCCCTCAACTTTTTGCGTCCCCCAAGGGGAAACCCTAACCCGAGTAGTCATCTAGGGTTTTAGGGTTTAGGGCTTTAGGGTTTTAGGGTTTAGGGTTTAGGGTTTAGGGTTTAGGGTTTTTCTCTGTAGCCGACTGTAGGTTCTGGAAGAGGGTCCCCTGGACTTTGTTGGCCGCTTCTGGGCAGCTTGGCAGCAGCAGGCCTCCGTTTCAAGTTCCTGTTCAAGCACGGCGTGTGTGCATTGCGTTCCTTTAGTGCCCCTCTTTGAAAATTCCTCCTTCAGCCATGGTACTGACAGATTTGTCAGGCGGGTATGGGTTCACACGCTTCAAACTGCCCAGGAGACGGTGAAGCCAAGGGACAGCGCGTACATGGCCGGCGAGCCGCTCGAGGGCATGCGAGTCATGGTACACTCCGCATGCTTGCACGCGTCGGGGATTTTGAAGGCTTTTGAGATCCTACTGTAGGATCGCAAAGTGTAGGCTTCTCAAATGCGCAGCTTGGGCTGGGAGGCAGTCCACATGCACTGGTGCATGTCCAGAACCGCGTGCAACCTTTTGAGTGTGTAACAACGCTGTTTATGCAGACCCCCTGAAAAAGTCCACTGAGCTGTTCAGCTAACTTTGCTTTCGCTCCGAGGAACATTGGCGAGATCCGGAAGCCTGGGGAGAAGGAGAGACCCCGAGCATTATAGTCGGCATTCTCACCGGGAAAGAGTCGTTCGTATTCCGGCACCCCCCTGGGCTTCCTCTTACACCTTCC